TAAATAATACCTTGTTGACTAGCCACTTCTCACCTCAAACTCCCAACCATGTACTGGGTCCAACCTTTTATTTTATGTTACTTAACTGTCCAAATTAACTGTCCAACGTTCTTGTGTTGTTTGTCAGACAGTTATTGATCAAGAAGACACAATCTCTTTGTATTCTTATCTTATGCCTTTTGGTATTATTATTGCTTGTTTTCATTTTTTTATTCTTGCTTTTATTAACATTAAGGAGATAAGGTTCTATTTTAGGGAAAAAAACAGTGGCTGAGGATCATCTCTCAGCAGACCATAAGCAGCAGAAGCTGCAAGCCCAGCTGCTGTGCAGCAAAGAATACCAGCGGAAAGATGCAACAGACAGCAGGGCTAAGCTTTGTCAATAAAACAAAGGATGGGAAGCATCTTATCACTTGCTCCAAGCAACTGGCCCAACCCTATTGAAGCATTTCAGTTACAGAACTGATTCCCCATCTGCATATATTTAAATGTTCGGGGGGGGATGTGCAGATGGAGGACTAATAGAGCCAATAACTTCATACAACAGAACTTTTCTTTCATTATCAGTTTTGTTCTGTTTTGCAGACATTCAGCTCTATTCTGCAGTGATACAACTCTATTACATCAGCATTAAAATCTTTCTCTCTTACACCCACACACACCCACACTTGTGCTTATGATCTTACTTCAGCTTTCCTTTGCTTTACAGACCTGTGAAAGTCATAGTTACTTTTTCATCGCTGTCATAACTGCAGTCGCTAAATGAGGCAGTTGCTAAATGAGGACTATCTATACTGTCTTTTTTTTTCTTCAGATATTTTCATTTCCTTATGCATCAGATAAAACAGAAAACTGGTATGATCTAGACCTGGAGGCAGAAAATGAACAGCCCAGATAAAGGAGGGCTGAGTTTCCCCGACCCTGTACATTCAATTGTGACAATCTTTTGGTCATAAGGAAAAGTCCTTTTCCTCCCTTCATCTTCCCAGGCTTTGAGCTATCTTCCTCAGCAGTTCCTTGCTTGCTTTGGACAAATACTGGCAGCAATATGATCGGAGGTTTCCTACTAAGGACGTTCTTTGCTACAGTTTACCATTACAAGGATACAAGGCAATTCACTCTATCTTGCTCCCCTAAAGCTAATGTCCTCTTATACTATGTACTTTACATATTCTTGTGGCAAACAGCCAGCCAAAGCGAATAGATAGCTTTCTGTTATCTTTTAAAAATGCTGTCTTCTGTTTGTCCTTAGCCATTATGTTGCATAACATTCTGTTCTATTCACACACTCAGGACAGTGCAGTCTGGGGGATTCTTCTGCTTCCTTAAAATACTTTAACCCCAGCTCTTTGTCAAATCAATGCCTCACCAACCAGCAGCACCTAACCAACCTTGGCTGATCTTGGAATCAAAGCAGGGTCAGCCCTGGTTAATACCAGGATGGGGGATCATCTGGGAATATCACAGCTGTAGGTGAGACTGGGAAGTTAAAAAAAAAAAAAAAAGTGGCAAAACATTGCCAAAAAAATGTACTTACCTTCAAGGAGTCTTTACTTTTTATTCACCAAATCAGATATCTCCAAGCAGCTGTCCTTTGCTTGCCTTAACATAAAATTAATTTTCATTAAGGAGCCAATGTGGTATAGTGGTGAAGGCACCAGACTAGAAAGCAGGAGACTGAGAGTTCTAGTCCCGCCTTAGGCATGAAAGCCGGCTCGGTGACTTTGGGCCAGTCCCTCTCTCTCAGCCCAACTCACCTCACAGGGTTGTTGTTGTGG